TTGTGTGTTGGGGGCGTTTCACACTGCTCAGTGTTGTTGTGTGTTGGGGGCGTTTCACACTGCTCGGTGTTGTTGTGTGTTATTGTTGTTGTGTTTATAAATTGTGGTGTTGGACATTCAGACGTTGCCATAGCGACTGAGTGGGCGGGGCCTTACCGCTCTGAAGGGGCGGAGCTCTGCGGACCATTTTGTTCGGTTTTCCTCGACCCTTACCTGAAAAACACACACACACACGTCAGAACAACACACACACACACGTCAGAACAACACACACACACACGTCAGAACACAACACACACACACACACACACGTCAGAGAAGAACACACAAAATCTACATATCTACAAATACATACATGTACACACACACACGTACGTACACACGTACACACTACAGATGCGCGGATGGCGGTTACAGCCGTGGACTCCGCAAAAAATTATATTTTAATTAAATTCAGGCAGGTGGCAGTTTCACTACTTAAATAAAAAACTGAACTCGGAGCAACTGGGAGGAGAGCGAGCGGACGGCGAGCGGACGGCGGTTTTGAAAAACTGTGGTTGCAAATGGACAGCGGACGGACGATGAGTTTTGAGATGTGGTTGCGGATGAAAAAGTCGCCCATCCTCACATCTCTAGCACGCACGCAGGCACGCACGCACACACACACACACACACACGGGATGTGCAGGATTAATCGATTAATTGATAATTGATCACTAAGAATTTCATGGATTCTGTTCATTTTAATGGACAAACTGAATGTATGTGTGTGTGTCGTGACCAAACAGGTGTGTACATGTGTCTCTGCATCAGAAGGAGCGAGACACAAACAGTGGGTCAGTCTGTAACGAACCGAAGCACAAATGTGGATTTAACCAGGATTTGTAGAAGAAATTCCACACTTTCCGTTGCGTTGGGACAAGTGTGAGTCCATGTGCACAGTGGATAAAGCAGCACATATGTTTCTGTGTCCAGTGGGAAAAAGTTTTTCCAGGTGAGAGTCGCTCAATGTGGATGACGAGGCCCCGCCCCCCTCCCCCCGTACGCTGTCCTGGTTTTGACAAACACAAATCTGGTCACACTGACCTGTATTCACCTGAGTCATGTCTTTTAATCCAACACAAGTTGAACCACATCAGCGACACAAGAGCTGGAGTTTTATCTTCACTTAGTTTATGTAAATTAGTGATGTGGTTTTAAGTTTTGTTTCTGTGAGATTTGAACAAAACTGAATTAAACACATTATAATGTCAAACAGCTGATGTGGATCTAGAGTCGTTATGTTTATATGTCGTAAAGTTGAATTTATTGATGCAGATTAGTGCAGATAGTAATAATAATGATGATCATTTTAATATAAAAACGTTAATGATTCATCGATAATCGATCGTTAATTCTTCCGACGATCGATTAAGAAGATTTTATCAAATGCTCGTCCCTACTTCACACACTACACAAACACTTCACACACTGTACACACACACACCTACACACCTGTTCATCTTTTCAAACCAAATTCAACCCAAGTGTGAAACAGACCCTGACCTCTGACCTCTGACCTCTGACCTCTCTCTGTGTGTCTCTGTGTGGCTCTTGTGGCTCTTGTGGCTCTTGTGGCTCTGTGGCGCAATGGATAGCGCATTGGACTTCTAAGCTTCACTCTGAGGTGATTCAAAGGTTGTGGGTTCGAGTCCCACCAGAGTCGCACTTTTAGCAACACACGACATCAAGAGGAAACAGACGGGTCGGGTCGGTCGGGTCGGCGGGTCGGTCGGGGTCGGCGTCGGCGTGGGGGTGGGTCGTCGGGGTCGGGTCGGCGTCGGCGTGGGTGTGAGGTAGAACTCTGACCCCGGGGTGAATTGTCATCGTTGACAAAAGCCTGCGTTGCTGGGAATTATTTTGGTCGGCGGCAAGAAACACTAATTGAACTTGACAGTGGAGAGTTTTAAAATCTCGTCTGAAAGACCCACTTTTATTCTCTGGCTTTTAACACCGCGTGAGTTGTTGCTCCTCTGTGTCTTTTATTTATTTTTATGTGTTTTTATTGGTTTTACTGATTTAATTTATTTATTTTATTTATTTCTATTCTATGATTTTGTTTTTATTTACATTTTTACTGTTTTTTTTTTATTTTACTGGTTTTATTATTTGAAGACTAGTATTATTTTAGTAGTTTATTGTTGTTATTTTTATGTACTTGTGCAGCACTTTGGAAACAGTTTATTTCTATAGCACATTTCACAAACAAAGTGGACTGGATTGGATTGGATGACGGACGGAGTGAGAAAGCACGTAAAGGGTATTGATCCCTGGTTATTGATCCACTTTAACGGCAGACGACCCAAGACCATTTGACCACAAATTGGTCATAAACATCGACGGACGACAAATCACCTTTTCAACCCCGACAGAGTCTGGACCAAACCACATTTCTGGTCTGAATCTCCAACTACCTGGACAAATATTTATAATAATAATATTATTATCCACAATGACTTGGTGAAACTCCTGGGCCATTCACAGCAGAAAAGATGAAAACCTCCAAGAGTCTGGATGTGTTGTTGAACTTGTTGAGTCCACGGTTTGTTAGGATCTTCTACGTTTGCTCTGCGGATGTTTGAAAGTCGTTTAATTCACCGTTAGTGGTTCTTTTCACTCAGAATATGAAAAAGACATTTTCCTTCTTCCGTGTTTCTATTTGTGCGTCTGATAATGCAGCAGGAATTTACCATTATCAAGGAGAAATACAGGAGGTTACACACTGTGTTTGACGCGACCGTGTTTCTGCCTCCGACCAAATATTTCCCAGCAGCAACGAGGGTTTTTAATAACAACGACGTCATCTGAAACTCGCCTGTAGGATTTTGACTCCTCTGACTTTTTTCTTTAGTTATTTATCTGATCATTATTTCTCGTGTCATTTACTTTGATTATATATTTCTACGTATTCACTTTGTTTTAAGGGATTTTCAGGAAAGTTTTGATGGAGAACGACTTGGTGTTTTGTGTAAATGTAACGTGTGCAGGTGAGACACTTGAAAATATCTACTATAATAAACATACTGTGGGTCAGATTATTATAATCAGAGGATTTTGACCTTTTTTTTAAATATAATTGATCAGCGTCAATATTCAACTAACATTATTTCTGACTTTACATCATCAGAACTTTAATAAACACACTGGGTTAAATATGTCAATCTGTTTTCATTTGCAGATATAGTATTAATGTTCAAAGTTTTTCTATAGAATTCAAATTGTTTATGAATAAACTATAGATTTTCATGGGGGGGTCAATATACCAGAATAGGATTCTGACCCCGGGGTCAAAATACTGTTTGGTCTGTTGCCCCCGGGGTCACATCACCGCAGGGTCAGAATCCTGCACCAGGTCCACAGAGAAATAAAAGTGTCGCAGTGAACGAGTCGAGTCATGGACAGAGATTTACCACCGAACAAAAACTAAACCATGAAAAAGAACAATCATGGATCAAATCATCAACACCAGAAACTGTTTATATTTATACAAATCATTATTTATGAACCAAACTCTGACACAACATGGATCTGCTGTGGAGAAGACGACAGCGACGACAGTACAAACACGTAAACTTAACAAAACACAAAACCAACGGGACGGAAGAGTTTCTGTAAACTTCAGACTTTTCATTTCGTAGGTGAAAGTTTCAGTTGTTCTTTGTTTGTTTTAGACTCAGATGAACCTGCTGACGTCTTCTGTGTCGTCACGGTTCAACTCAGAAAAAAATACTTTTACTTGGTTCCTGTTGGGAGTTAAACTTTTCAATTCCTGAACGAAACGATTTCTGACATGAACAAGTGAGTCAGAACCAGGACCAGGACCAAGACCAAGACCAGGACCAGGACCAGGACCAGGACCAAGACCAGGACCCGGACCAGGACCAGACCCAGACCCTAACCCCACCTCTTTTCCTTTCTCTGTGTGGCTCTTGTGGCTCTGTGGCGCAATGGATAGCGCATTGGACTTCTAAGCTTCACTCTGAGGTGATTCAAAGGTTGTGGGTTCGAGTCCCACCAGAGTCGCACTTTTAGCAACACACACACACACACTCCAGAGGAAACACACACACACACACTCACACTCCAGAGAAACACACACACACACACACACACACACTCCAGAGGAAACACACGACGAGTTTAAAAAACAAAGAAATGAAAATCAAAACTAAGAGAAGGTGAACGAGGTGAACGTGGTGGAAATATTCCCGTTGGAGCTGCGCTGGGGACGTTCTGCTTCCTGCTCGTCTCCGTGGAGATGTTCTGCGTTTCCCTGGAATGTCCCGCAGTGTGGCTTTAAACGTCTCCGTCCGGTGCGTTTCCCCCGCGGCGCCTCTCCACAGACCCGACACTCAGGTCGGACCCGGACCCTGCAGCTCCACATTTGGTCCTTCTCTTTAAACTCACGTGGAATCACAAAATAAACTGATTTTTATAGTTTGAGCTCGTGGACTGAAGCCGCTTTGTTTGATTTTACTCGTGTTTGGTTTTGGTTTTGGTTTTTTTTGGGGCAGTTTCACTTTGTCATCGTTTCGTCTGAAGTGTTTTATAAAGAAATCCAGTTGAGATTCTGCAGACGTCTGTTCCACACAGACAGTTCACTTTGACCTCCTTTTCAAATCCACGTCTGGGTTTTCCCACTCGCTCCGTTTGTCGTTTAAAGCTGCACTGCGGAACATTCAGGTGAAGTCCAGCTGCAGGACGGCTCGGCTCTGTGGAGAGGCGTCGCGGGGGAAACGCGCCGGACGGAGACGTTTAAAGCCACACTGCGGGACATTCCAGGGAAACTCGTGAACATCTCCATGTCAATATTTACACTTTAAACTTGGACTTTACTCCACGTTCACCTCGCTCACCTTCTCTTGGTTTTTCTTTTCTTTAAACTCGTTTCCTCTTCTCTCCGTCCGTCTCCTCTTGATGTCGTGTGTCGCTAAAAGTGCGACTCTGGTGGGACTCGAACC